AACGATCAGGATGTCATAGCTTGTCGCAGTTCGAAGAATGTATTAATTGCCAGCAGAAAAACCGTTGCTGGAACTACGACTAAAAACTGGATAATGCCGGAGTAAACACCGTATCTAATGCTCTGGATTTGTCTGGAAAACATAATTATTACCACTATGAAATAACAAATTAAGGACTTAAGGTTGGTCGTACGAGCGAGATCAATAATATATAACAATATATTATATTTATCGAATATTGTATTTTTTTCTGTCATTATGCGATTCGTTATATTTAATGATTACCGAACATATAAAAAGGATTTTAAACGAACAAATAGTTAATAACGTAATACGAATATTCCGATGAATGTACACAATTTCGTGTTCTCGATCGATCGAGGAATGAAAAATAAATGTAAAGAAATGATATTTGCAAGTTCATCGACCAGCTCCGTTAGCTACTCTAGTGGTATAGAAACTAGTTTACGCTTTCTCCAAAATTTCGTATCACTTTCTTTTTATTCTCTTAGGAAATAAGACGTCCGAAGACGAGAATAATAGCGCAAAGATTTGGGACGTTACCTGAACTTTGTCCTTTTTAACGAAATTAATACTTCGTTTCCTTGAACGTTTCAGAACAGAATATTTCCGTTCGCTTTCCTATTACGCTATACAACTTCTACCAACGCAATTCACGATTTTTCCGGTAGTTGATGTTACGACGAACCACGAATATCCAGCATCGATTCACTTTCTAATGAGACGCGAAATTCACTTTCAATTTTCAGCCATGTATTCCACTCACGGAAAGCTCGTAATTTTTCGGTTACTTTCAGCTACAAAACCATCACGAATAAAATGACTTTTTTGTGTGTACGAAATGAAACGGATGAAAACGAAGATTAAACGTTATAACTGTTACCCGAATTCGTTTCGTGGTATAGTATCTATGTACTTGTTCGAATCGATGAAAGAGAAACAACATAACACGTATTACGTATAAACGTTACAAGCATAAATCTTAAAAATCAGGAAACAGAACAAAAAGTACTTTCTAACTTGTCGAAAATAAATCTTAAATTTTTCGCGCGCAATATTAATTATGTAATACGTTATTATTTTCTCGCTATTACTCGATACATATATCACTTGATATTATTCGACATTCTTGCACGTTATTTATGACAATATTTTACGTCAACAAAATTAAACGACCATGTTCTAATTTATACAAAATTAAATGGTAATGTTCTAACTAATATAAAAAGCTACATTGATGATTTAAACCATCAGCGAATTTCTGTGTCACGTTTCGTGTGTCAGAACACAGCATCAACGAGGTACAACGAAACCATAATAATAATCGTGCACACGAAGCTTTTTATGTCGATCTAATTTCCTTCAATTATTCGATCTAGTTTACAACTGAATGATACTTCGATAGTTACATCGGGCATTCTCGATCATCGTTTTTTGAAAAATTTAATAAATTAAAAGCGAATTTCGAGCTACATTAAAAATACACAAATGATGTTTATTATCAGATATCGCGGGAAGGAAAGAGACGAAGAAGACAATATAACAACGACACTGACACTTTTCGAAGGATCTAGCGAAACTCGATTCGAGAAATCGGAGGGCTACTTTCAAAACTGTTCGCTTGCGAGAAACTATCGAGTATCGTTAATACATGAATTCAATTTGCGGTCGTTGTAAGCTGTAAGTCTTCCTTATCGTTACGCCTCGATATTTATAGAGTTCTTATACCAAGAAATTCCTCGTGACTTGTGATATATCTTAACGAATAAATGAAGATAAAAATGAAAAGAGATATTCCTCGATTCAGACGATTCCTCTTGTAAAATTTATAAAATATACACGATCGATTAACAATGTGTAGATTAGATAAAAAGGATCTTACTATCGGAACGTGGATCTCTTCTGGCGTTGCGGAGTCATTCGCGTTCGCAAACGAAAACAGGCGAAACACGGGTGAAACGAGGAGGAAACGTGCCAGTAAGGTACGAAAGTACGTACCTATGCGAAAGTCGCCCACTGAACGAGAGATACTCGTCTCACCGGCGCTACGGTCGTCGGTCTACTGAATAAAACGGTGGCTTCGGTACGCCTTTACCCCCTCGACGATCTCCAGCAGCAGACTGCGAGCATCAGCCGAGATACATAAGTAACAAGCATTAATATAAGCGTGGTAATTGCACGTGCATCAATCAATTATCTTTTGTGTGTTATCTTTCTTTCCTTTGGGCGTTTAGATCGGTTGTCGTTGATCTAGAACGGATTTTTTAACACAATGAATATTTCTTAATAGAATGACGATATATTATAAGTATAATTATAAATTATTATTTATTTATACAATAATTGTTATAGTGACCATTTTGTTACGTAGACAGTATGGTGAAGCCCAAATAAATAGAAAAAAAGATATACATAGGTTTAAGGTAGACTTTTGCAAAATATTTCAATGTAAAATTTACTACTGTACTTTGTAAATTCATTGGTAAATAAGGTGCACAGATGTAAGAAGCAATGATTTTACTTGTTACTCCGGTTTCTCCTTCGTTCCTTCGTCACGAAAACCCGTTATCCTCATCCAAATCGCTTCCTTTACCTTCCAAGATTCCCAAAAAGAAACTCGATTCGTTTCATTATAGTACAAATAACTTCCAAGTTTTGTCAAAGAAATATTTCATGACAACTTCTTTTGCTTTTTGTCGCGTAAAATATTATGTAATCGTATCGTGCATAGCTGACATCTGAAGAAATTCAAACCCTTAATCTCTGCAGATTCTCACATGGATCCGTTATAACGTAATCATTGATAGCTTCGTGACATCGTTCGGTTTCATCATGGCTCGTTGTTCGCGCAATTTACCAACTGATACACCGATACAACGGTACCTCGATACAAAACGTTCGTTGATCCACCGGCGCGTTTCCTTCGGTTAAGGCGTCGCGTCGCAGTAACGAGACTTGACCGAAGGAGAGAGTAGCCTCTTGAAGGAAATAAGGCGATGAACAAATGAATTTTTGTGTACGAATATTCTCTATGCCTAGCTATATGTTGCTATATATCAGCTTTCATCGTCGTTGTACACACGATGGATACTAAGAGATACCAGTTTATCATGCCAAGGTGATCCAGTTGATATTCGAGAAGTAAAAATAATGTTCAGGTAGCAGATGTTTTATCTGAGAAGGAAGACCAATATTGATTGCGCGAGTAAAAATGATGGGAACTCTAGGCCCAGAAATTATATCTGATTATTACAATTATAGCTGACTATTATTTGGAGCGTTAGAACAGAAATACTATTGTTATGGAAATTCGAATCGAACAATGTTTACTCTGTTCTCCTTGATATCGATAGCGTGGCTAAGTCTGAAACAGAATTTTAATTTATCTGCGTCAAGAGATATCGTTTCGTATAAACACAACATTGATAATATCCATATATGAATGTTTCATTTTAAAAAGAAAAATTACTAATCGTAGCGAAGAAATAAGATTATTTTTAATTTTACCCTTTTCCTTACGATGAGTACATATATGTTTGAAAATTTCTAATAAACTAAAAGGCTGCCTAATTATTTTGTAAATTTACGATGAAATGGAAAGTTACATTCCACCGTATAACCATTGAACTTGAAATACAAGATATCTTTCTCTTGGCGATTTAGCAAAACTACAGGTTGTTTCACGAAGCTCGAGAAGAGCAGCAGGTGAAAGTGACCGATTCCGAATAATTCGGAAGTTCTTGTCAAGCATTTCGCATTAAATCAATAATTGATTGTTAACGATGTTGATCGCTCGAAAAATTTTTATGACGTTAAAGAGTGGGGAAGGGAAGAAGTAAAAGATCATTAGCACCGAGTTTTCGTAATGATCTTTCCAAGAAAACCGCCCACTCTTAACAAATCCCGTGACGTTAATAATAATTATTATATTACTCATATTTTTATTATCTTATTTTGAGCACGTTTTAGTAATCTAAAAATAAACCAATTAACTTTTTGGCATTTATCTTCTTAGTTCAGATACATTCCACCTTAACTCCTTGAAATACCATATCTGATGATATGAAGTAATTACAATACCACAATTCGATTAAAAAAAATTTTTTTTTTAACTTTGAGATTTCTTTAAGAAAAGAAATGATTATTTGTAGAAAACAAAGATAGTAAAATACTCACCATTTTTATTTTGTAATTTGGAACAAATAGACAGCTAAAGTATGTTTTAGGAGTGAGCGAAACCGTTAACATTCGAGATACATATTTGAGTAGAAAGGATCTTGATAATCGTTGTCCAAGTTGTCGTTTGCTTCTCTAGATAATTACTAAATAGGCAAATATGAAAACGTACAGATGTTAGGACTTTGGAACCACTTTTTGACTCTGTATGTTTTTATATATATTTCACTGTATATGCATTCTATTGTATGAATAATTTAAATGATTTATAATCTAAATACACTAATTTTGTAGATTGTGAATTTTCATCTTTAATTTAAATATTAAAATGAGTGTACCGTCAATTTTGAAAAATCGATTAGAAATTTAGCAATTTGCATATGTACATACACATGTAAGTACATATTTTGTACAGAGGGTTATCAAGTCTTTGAGTTTGCGTCGCGTCGGTAGATACATTTGAGATAGAGATACTCGCCCATAGATGGCGTTTCTGTATCGGAAACTTGGTAGGTTTAATTTGTAATGAAGTTTAATTTCGTAAAACAATTATAAATTACCAAATATTTTTCGAAAAGAAAACAATAAAAAAAAACAAAAAAACATTATCTTTTTTCAGAATACATAGGTATTACAGGCTACATTTCGTACTATGAAGTACGCTTTGTAGGATTACTTTTATGAGGCATATTCGTGTTTTCATCGCACGTGCGCCAATCCTTGAGCGTCATAAGCGATAAAAGAAAATTTAGTATGTCCTGTCTGCTCCAAAGGAAACAATAAACGTGTACAATAGCTCGTAGTGTTGTTTACCTTTCATTTATTCATTAATTCATGTACGACTCATTACGAGGATCAACAGGTTGCATGGGTAATGAAATGGCAGCGCTGATCTGGCATTGTTTCACACTTGTTTCTCTGCAACATGTGATTTATCCCTTGCTATGATCGAAACTGACGAAGGTTTTTTAACGAAAGTATTTTTTCAAAGAGCAAAATTTTAATAATCAAGCGATATGATAATAGGAGATACGCGATTTGCATCGAAAATGATAGTTTTAGAGTATCTTGTATCCTGAAACAGTAGGAGTCAAAAGTGTAAAAAATGTAAATTATGGAATTTTTCCTCCTTCGTGTTCTATAAGCACGGATCGTTAATAACGTTTCCATTTCTCTACTTTTTTCGTCTTTTGTAGAAAGAAGTACTACTGACCTAGATCTGGAGTGACGTCCTTTCACCCGGCATTCGATAAGTTTTGCTATCTTCCTACGCTTATGCTACGAAACTCATTCGTGTGAACTGGATTCTCTCTGTAATTCGAATTACAATCACGCGTGTAAGTACATGTACGCGAATTATCTTCAAGTACAGACGAACATACATTTTCCAGTGTGCGTACATACGTGTGTGGTCGAAAAACGAAATAAATCGTTTCGATTGTGTAAGCTGGAGTATTATAATGCTCCATCTACATTTCATGCACGTAATTCGAAGATTCACTTGAATCTCGTAACTTTCTACCCGAAGAAGAATAACACAGTCTGATGGATTGCAAATCAATGATCTCCGGTAATTTCCCGTAATACATGTATTGTCCTCTTGCAACCTTGATGGTAGCAAAGGAGGGAAGAATTCGGAATACTGAAATTAAAAATATAGCAAGTAATTATTTCTATAGAGACAGGTGGGACAACACTGCCTTCCTTAATTAAAATGTCTTATCTGGTATTTTTTCAGATTTCAACATATGTACATTGAAATATTTCAAGTTCCACGTGTATTTTATCTTTTAAGTAAAATTATATATTACACATAATATATTACGCTGTCATAAAATAATAATTAAATATTTTAAATTCAATGAAGAAAAATCAAAAGATGTTACAAAGAAAATGATAAAATTTAAGTTTCCTTTAGGTGTGGTAAATAGGACATTTCAACTAAAGAGGGCAAAATATTAACGAAGACCATTGCAAAATAAACGATAATAATATCGATGTCAAGAAATAAAGAAAAAGATATTAATTAGGATAACTACTTTCTTTAACTATTCTCTTTGAATCTAAATATTTTTTCAACGAATTAAAAATTTATATTAAGGAATTAAGCATTGCAATTGAATTGAATGTGAAGGTATGCAAGAGTAACAACAAATCCCTTGGTTCATCATTTTCCTAAATGGAGATTACAATTTTTGCAATTTTCTTTCTATACCCTTCATGCTCTATATATGTACATACACATATAGCCAATACAGTCAACCGCGTGCTAACGCGGTATAAAATGATAGGATAGATAAAAAGACAGGAAGAGAGAGGAACTTTCACCATAAAACCCAGTGCAGGCTTTTTCTACGGTATTAGGGATCTATAGCATATTCATCTTGTGAGATACTATACTATAGTAAATCCAGTAGTGTATAGGAAGTGGGTTCTTTTGGCGCTACTTCAGCTTCAATCTCATCATTTCCTTCGTTATTATCTGATTTTTCACTGTCTGAATTCATCTTTTGGACTACATATTTTCACAACAAATCGTATGTATTTATATTTAATAAAGTCCACGTATATTGGTATTATATATGGTATATATATTATATGGTATATGAATAAACACATCAACAGAGAAATCTAAAAAATATTTCTTTACAAAACTGTGAATCAGTAGTCAAAGCAGTGATTTAAATGCAATGGTACGATACGAGGACGGGGACTGTGTAGGTGGGGAATAAAGAAACACTCTTACAATACCTTCCAAGAGGGTTTCTGACTACGTGACTGAGCACAGTTTAAAGTCACGCAAAGCATCGCGGGTCTTGCAATTTAGTCAGTGAACACCAGTCGATCAATTGACACAGAGGTGGATAGATAAAGTAAAATATAATTTTTCGAATCCACGTATCTTTGCACCGTTTCTCGCATCTAAGAAAGGCAACAATCTGAGAAAGTGTGTTCAAAAGGTAAAGAGATAGTAACCGTTTCAAAAGTCCGTTTCGCGCGTTACTTTAAATTAAACGATTCGTCCGTAACATAGTGGAAAAGTGGAAAGTCATTTTTTATTGTAGATAAAATGGACTAAAATAAATATAAATAAATTTTATACTAAAATAGATAAAAAGCTAATAATTGCTTCCGTGATAAAATGGCGATCAAAAGTGTTGGGAAAGAAGAGTGTAAAATCAAACTTAACAAACGTAACAATTATTAAAAAACAACGTACTTACGTAGTAGTTTATAATCTATAAGTGATATTTTTCATTTTATCATATAAAATTAAATTAACTGATTCTCTTAAAGTTCGAATCAAAATCCTAAAAGCCCAAAGTTGCGTGTTTCTTTTCTCAATGTTTCCTAATATGTATACGTATATTTCTTACACTTAAGTTTCCATATTCGTCAAAGTTAGCTTTTTCCCAGTTAGTCAACCGTAGATTTGATCAAATAGTAACGGTTTCAACGCCGCCACACGAAATAAACCTTTTTTTAAATTAACAATAACAGAGAATCGAAGCTTTGCTACCTTTCATTCGTACAAAATCATCCAAACATGCAAACAAAATTTTTCAATTGTAACATAACATCAATTTTATAAATTAAAATTGATATAAAAGAAAGAAGAGAAAAAGAACCGGAAATGCAGGAAGCCAATCGTTTGATGCACTTTTTATATTCACGACTCAGGCAAAATGATTCCTCTCTGCGAATAATCAATCCGATAAATATTCAACCAGAAGTGTCCGACGATCATAGAATAAATTGTATAAATGATACATCCTTGCTTGGTCCCCGTTAAGGAAGCGTTTGCTCGCGCGGTTGGTGCATTGACCGGAGTTAACAACACCAGTAACCGCAAATCGGCTTGCTTCCACTACTCGCGTAGGAATACCGTAATGCGCATTTCTATCCATTATTGAATCTTATTAAACCAGCAATTTCTACTTCTCATAGAAGCGGAGAATAAGCAAAAGAATCGGTCCTTTATTGAGCGTCCAACGGTGGTTAAAAAGCGAACACGCAATACTTTGGAAAAAGGTGAATCATAGAAGCAATAAGACTTGAATACGTAGCGTGAACTGCAATTAATGTTGAAAGAGCTATTTAGATCCGGGGAATGAAGAAACATTGCATACTTTGTGTCGTAATTTTTTGGTGAATGTCCAGTTTGGGTAATGTAATTACTTTCTAAAGCATTCCGATTTATATGCATGGAAAAACAGATTCTTCAATAATTTTGATTTGTTTCCTATAATGGATTTAGTCCCACTCTGTTTTTTTTTTTTTTTTTTTTTTTTTAGACAATTTCAGTCCAATCGTATTTTTTTTTTTTTTTTTGTATCGTTAACAGGTGAAGAATTTTCAATAATAAGGAAGCAGCCGTGATATTCAATATTATTTATTGGAAGCGAAAGAAAGATAGTATAGGTTTCATATTCAAAAATGCAAAAGTTTGTTACTACGAATATTAATTGACTATCAATTTATAGCACGTTTAAAAAATAACTTGATTCTGACTGATTTTGAGTTGGCTTCTATTGGTTCAGTCAAATTATCGAAAAATGCAACTACCTGCATATTGCCACAGCCCCTTCGAATTTTTCGTTTCAATCTTTCCTTTAAAGCATTGAACATCTTTTCGTTTGTTAAAACAAAAGCATTAAAATTTGAAGACTACAGGATTAAATTAGCAATATCTCTTGTGGTTCAAGAATATAAATGCAGCTACCGGAATGGACCATCGTAATATACGATCTTCTACTTTTTACGGGGATGGCGATTATTTACATAAGCGAAGCTATTATTTTGACGTTTATTCCGCGACGTTATCGCGTGAAGTCTGTGAAAGGTGAGATCGCCCTAATAACGGGAGGTGCGGGAGGAATTGGACGATTGATTGCAATTAAACTGGCAAATCTTGGAGCACACGTTGTTATCTGGGATATTAATAAAACTGGTAAGTCGTAATATTCTTTAATATTAAAAAAGAGAAAAATATTAATTATTTATGTCTTCATGAACGTTCAGGACTTAAGGATACAGTCCAAGAGATTAGACGCAGTGGAGGAAAATGTTGGGGTTACTATTGCGACATCACCAGTAGGGAAGAAGTTTACAGAATGGCAAAGATAGTGCAGATCGAAGTTGGCTCGGTAAGTAAAATTGCTAAATAAATAATAAATAATAAACAATAAATTATAATTTATCTATCATGATTTGATATTTAGGTAACATTATTAATAAATAATGCAGGTTACGTATATGGAAAAACGCTTTGGGAATTACCAGATGACGAGATTATACGTACTTACAAAGTGAACATTCTATCCCACTATTGGGTAAGTTAAAATGAACGATGCTAAATTAAAAATGAATAAAGCCATTTCAAACAATATTTACATTCAACAGATTACCAAAGCATTCATGAGGGATATGATGAAAAATAATCACGGTCATATTGTAACTGTAGCAAGCGTGGCAGGACTTCTAGGGACCTATAATTGTACTGATTATTCGGCGACTAAATTTGCGGCTATCGGTTACCATGAGAGTCTCTTCACTGAACTAAAAGTAAGAAGACTTGTCTTATAATTATCCTTTGTTAGTCTCTTTTATAAATAAGTATTTTGCGATGTTCTTAGGCTCACGAGTACGACGGAATTCACACCACTTTAGTTTGCCCCTATTTTATAAATACGGGTATGTTTCACGGGGTAAAGCCAAGGTATGCAATAGGCTCCATAAAACCGTAACTTTTATGATTTAATAAATCTATAATAAATTTATAATTTATAGACTGATGCCAATGTTAGAACCTGAGTATGTTGCGCAAGAAGTTGTATCTGGAATATTATTAAATCAAGTAATCATTGTATTACCTGGATCAGTTAGATACCTCCTGCCACTGAAATGGTAAATCGTTCGAATTTTCTCTATACCTAACTAAACTTGTATAAAAAATTGATTATAATATTATTTATTTAAAAGCTTATTGCCAGCAAAATTATGCTGGGCATTAATGTATCATATCATACAAGGACCACAGTCTATGATGATGTTCAAAGGAAGGGGGGAAATACAAGCATTGAAGAATAACAATAACGTTGCGATAATGCTCAAAGAAACTGTACATTAATATATAGAAATTCAACCGTATTTGTGTTAAGTAGAGATTAGCATGACATGAATTTCATTCATTAATACCAAGTCTGAATATTTATTTGTAAATTATTTTCGGTGACTTTCTTTAGTTTTTAAATGTCACGTATATTTATAATATAATGTAAAACAAGTTCACAATAAATCGTAAAAATAATGTAACCCCTGACCAAGTTCCCATATAGATATACCTGTACCCAACTCTGCTGCAAGATCCAGTCGATGTAAAATAGAATATAATGTGGGATAAAAGATAATTCCACTGCCCCCTGATGACCTGAAATACATCCCTAAATTTTATCCTATACCGAATCAGTTTCACCTGAACTATAAATTCTCTTATGATCCTATATCTTACTTTGATTCAAAAAAGTGTTCTTTGCTGTTATCGTCCCATTGAATTTTCCCCTTAAAGGATTCGAGAATTTTCAGGTAATCTGAACCCAGGATGGCTCCCCCACCTTCAGGTGTGTAATTGTATCCATATAGATTAAGACCTAACAATATTTGAGCCCTTTTAGGGCCCCTCTCAGGTACTAATAATTCTACACATTCCCTCGCCCAATCAAGTGGGCTATTAGGACCAGGTCGTTGAATACTTGAATAGTCATAAGTCATTAAAGAGAATGCTTTTAAATATGGCGATAATTGATCAAATTGATCTTTGTTAAATAATTGCACATTTGGGCTGAAAAATTGAACAATAAATAACATATACAGTGTCGTGATATTCTTTTCTATAATGTCTTGTGGCTTTTGAATTTAAATATTCTATAATCTGCTTATAATAAGCGTAATATAACAGGAGTTACCCTCTTGAAGGTGGCACTGCTAAAATTGTATCCAAATTATTGTTCTTCAATTGATGAGCAATAAACTGGATCAATGCTACAACAATCTGTGTATCTACACCTGTTAATACAAACTGGTTCCATATCTCCAATACGTACCCGTCAAAGTGGAAATTCTGAGACATTGTACCATAACTGTTACACGTTACCGATAACATTTAATGTAACATATATGTTTTTATGGGTACCTTCGCTGTATCCACAAGTGCTGAAATTAGTGTAGTTTGTTTATGCGTATCACTATATAATCCAACAATACCACTGACTGACCAATGTTCAAACAATACTCTTGGTAAAACTATAAAATATAATTATGAATTTACATATGTATGTTTATTTAAAAGAAGCGTGGATTATATATTATATTGGAAAGTTGGCATACTTTTTACATGATGATTTTCATTATTTGTTGCTTTCATTTCCTTCAGCCATTTCTTCTGAACATCATGGGTTGATAATTTATATGTCGATGCGTTGCCTTCTGGAAATGCCAACCATACTGGTGATATCATTGTAAATTTTCCATGAAATATTTTGGAAACCTCAATTCCATTATTATTCCACTAAGGAAAACACATATATAAGGAAAACACATATTTTCATCGATACACTTATTTTATGTATTGTCAAAATCTATTATTAAAATTTACATATAAAGTATATTATACCTGTACCACAAAAATTAACAAACTTACCGGTGTAATATATCCTAAAACTTCTCCTGTGAATCGTCTACGAGTTGTATTAGAAAAATAAAATCCCGATTCTCGAATAATATCATGTGTCTTAGGGTTTTTTACCACTAAGATTCGACTAAATACATCTTGTCCCACGGGACCTTTCTGTACAATGCCAATATGTATAAAATTAGATCACAAATACACAGTCCGTAAAATTCTTATAATATTTTTTTCTCTACCTTAATTTCAATTTTTCCTTTACTTTTCTTGTTATTTCTATCTTTGGGTGGTGACAACGTACAATTTGATAATTCAATAAATAACAATACGCTAATTATTAATGTAAAAACATTCATAATAATTATATTTTAGCATGAACTTATTAAGAACATAAATTATTTCTACTTAGAATACGTGAATGATACATAGAACATCATTTAAATTATTTTGCTCATACTGACATCCGTGGAGAAATGAGAGTGCTCACGCATATTGTTCTAGTTGTTCTACAGTACATGTGCTGCACCACTCAGCCAAGTGTTGAAGTTGTTCGATGCTAGCATCAGAGAGCATTGTTTTAATGTAAGCATGTAAACAAAAGGCAGTCGCTGGGTACTTTGAAAGCAGAGGTGTTGCTCGTAAGCAATCTATTTTAAGCATTTCTGTATTAAGTTTCCAATCTTAATATATATAAAATTTTAACTTAGATTAAGATTAGAAGAATTAATAAGTTTTACTTTTTAAAAAAAGTAAGATGTATCAAAGTCGTGGATCGTAAATTAGCCAGGATGTCAAATCTTGTCTGCAATTAATTTACTTTTCTATTTTTATTATTTTTGTAAACAAACACACGTGCAAAGCAGATACACCATGTCACATATTATTCGCAGCCTATTAACTGTTGAAATTATTATTAAAATGAAATTTAGATTTCATTATAACAAAAACATTATTGCAAGGAAAATAAATCTAATGTTAAAGCTAAAAAGTTATATTGTGTATAGCCCTTTGACTACTATTGGCGCCTAAAGGCGCTTAAAAATATTGCTCTTATGGTACTGTAAGCACCTACAGGTGCTTAACCAAGATCGGTTTACTGACACGAAAGGCGCCTATAGGCGCTCGGAAAATTTTATCGATCATAATTCCGGCAGATCTTATTTCAATCAGACGTAATTAAATGTTAATTCAGCAATTACACATTCCGTTAGTACTATATTAACTGTGCATAATACATTTATCTTATACAACTATGTAATTGCAAGAAACTCATATTTTAGTGAATTTCATTTATATTTAATGAAACAAATTTTACAAAAATACAACTCAGGTAGAATGCATGAATGTACATCAGAAAGTAGAAGTACTGATAGTGAGCCTTTTCGTTTGACACAAAGGCATTTTTCGTTCCCATACTTAAAAAATGCAGCAATTCGGAAAAACATAAGGCACAAATGTGTAGTGTGTAGAAAACATAATGGAAGAAGTGCGACACATTACAAATGCATGAAATATGATATAGGATTATATATTTACCCATGTTACAAATTGTGTCACACTTTACTGGATCATTAAATATATTGTTAAAAAAGCTTAATGTTAATGTTAAATTTGTAGTATATACACTAACAATTGAATTCAGAATACAAAGAAACAAATAATATTATTTTAATGTAGTGAAATTCTGTGTTTTGATTACATGAACATACTTTCTCAGAAATGCACGCCTAACGAAAAGTTTTACCGTTCTCGGTGTCCGTCGTGCCTGATTTCCTACCCTATGGTACGGCTGGTATGTCTCAAAGTCTGCCGCAGTCAAAGGGGCAGAGAATATATTAAAATTACTGCGTCATTTCAGTGATTCATTATGTGTTGTGTGAAAGATTTTCTTCTCTTCTCTAAAAAAATGTGATAAAGAATTCCTCTTTTTGAGACAGCTAAGTTCAATTATCGCTGTTACCTATCTCGGATAGAAAAGTATGAACTTTTTCATAGAATGTAATTACAATGAATTCCTTACAATGCAATAGACTTGTGTAACGTGGAACTAAATAGGTTCTTGTATATGCTAAGGTGGAACTCATTCAGCGCTTGGTCGCTGAGGGCAGCACTAATCTGGTAACAGTCGGAACCATAAGCGCGAGCACTTTCATTTCCTTTCTGCTGATATTGTTAATAGAATGATAGAATGATAGAATGCGCTACTGTGAATCTGCATGCACATAATCATGTGTATACATATGTACATATATGTTAGCTTGAGCAGGTTTGAATAAAATGATATTTTTGTTACTAGATTAATGCATAAAGATAAATACATATAATACAAAATTAATCAGTAGATACAGAATTATGTATTGATATAAAATTTGCATTAATCGGATTAAATCTTGTTTTTAATTGGATTAATTCATTTTATGTAAACTTTAATATATAGTTATTATTCTCGTTAGTTATTACAGCTATTTTTTTCGTTAAATAGGAATAGGTTTTAATCGGATGGTTATCCAATGTACAATAAGTAAACAAATATAGATGATTGGAAATTGCTGCTTTGATACATTTTTAAGCCTTTTTTTTACCACGTGACCACATGATATGTATTTTGATGTAATATGGCGCCTTTAATTGTCACAGTGTAATAAAATTTCTAAAAGGATGTAAAATTCTTTTAAATGTTAAACTTGAAACTTAACACAGAATGCCGGTTGATATAAATCGATTAACGGAAGGTTGGCTAGAATTGGAAAGTGACCCAGGTATAAAATAATAGCCTCAAGAGTATGTTATTTTAATAACTATTATCATTAAATTATCTGTATGCATTATTAAAATATAATATAAATATAAAAATGGATGTACATTACATAAGAAAATGTTAGTTGAAACAATTTGGTTTTATTTTAATACATTTATATGCCGTCACTGTATCTATATTGTGTTTTAACTTTATTGTAGTCAATGGAAAAGCATTTCTGTTCTTCTATGACATTTAAGTTATAGTATATTTAAAAGATTTATATCGATATGTATTTTATATTATTAGGTTTATTTACATTGCTATTGGAGGATTTTGGAGTAAAAGGTGTACAAGTAGAAGAAATATATGATCTACAAAAATCGTTGGAAGGTCCAGTGTATGGTTTCATATTTCTATTTCGTTGGATAGAAGAAAGGAGGTCCAGACGTAAAGTTGTAGAACAAGATGAAAGTTTTGTGAAAGATGAAGAAATTGTTAACAATATATTTTTTGCACAACAGGTGCTATAATTTTTATACAAATACTTTATATGTAATACTACATATAGTATTTACATGCAAGAATCTGTTTTTGAGTAACCTATCGTTTTATAGGTTGTGCCCAACAGTTGTGCAACACATGCACTACTCTCTGTATTACTCAATTGTCCAAATATTCATTTGGGTACAACTTTATCCAGGTTGAAGATGCATACATCCGGTATGTGTCCAGAAAATAAAGGATGGGCAATTGGTAACACACCTGAATTGGCTTGCGCTCATAATTCTCATGCAATGCCACAAGCCAAAAGACGGCAAGATAAAAATACTGGAGTCTCAACTGGTAGGTTTACTGGAGAAGCTTTTCATTTTGTTAGTTATGTACCA